AGAATTCCCCAGCCAGCATGGCTGGCTGGGGAATTCTGGGAGTTGAAGTCCACCTATCTTAACGTGGCTAAGGTTGAGAAACATTGCTCTGCAATAAGCTAGCATTTTAAAAAAAGATTATTTATCTAGTTTGCCGAGGCGTCTGCCAGAGGGGGTCAAAAATGTCAAGATGGCAGCTGGGTCTGTGTGATCAAAGCCCTGCCTGTGCAAAACAAAGTCATCTTGACTTTTTTGACCTCCCTCCCAATAGGTAACCCTGATATTTTGGGAGAGCCAACACATCGTCTCTCTGGCATACACGACCACCAAGGATGTTGGCTTCCTCAAAGTCAAAAGCAGCTTTCGCTCCCGCAAGGGGCGGCCCTGGGCAAGCAGGTTGGCTTAGCAGGGGCAGCCCCGGGTTCAACGCCTCATTCAGCCCAAGAATGCAACGGGCGCTCTCCTAACCTGGTTCCCTGGAGTTCACCGAGCCATAAATTAATTCAGCGGGCCAGAAACGAAAGGCGCACGGTGGGGTGGGCATAACCTGCACGGCTGGTCCGTGTCCCACGGGACCTTCTGAACCCTGCCAATAAGCAAAATCTCCTTTTCTCGCCCTCTTCTACCCCACGAGGCCGTTGGGAAGAAAATGAGCCCGGGCACAAGACTCAGAGAAGCGTTCTCGGATTAACTGCCGGAATGCCAATTACCCATTCAAATCCGCACCGCCCTGCGGGTGTGAGAAGACGGAAAGGTTGCCACCGGCCGAATCCTGAGGTCTCTGGAAGAGCTGGCGAGGGAGACTCTGCCAGGGCAGGGCAGGAGGCCGAGCCCTCGCTGGAGCCTGTCACAACGCGGCATCGCAGCCTTGGCTAATCATCAACCGGTGCAGAACCATCTGCCCGGACGGACACCGGGAGGCTGGCCCTTCCGCTTTTACGGCACGGACCTCTTAGGCGCAGATCAGAAACCGATTCGCCGGGGATCTGGGGCCAGCCCTGATTTTTATGCAGCGAGGTGAACTTTACACCCCCGAGCAGCTGCGAGAAAGTGGTGCAACAGGCGACCCGCTGCTCGTGCCAGGACGCTCCACTCTCTCACACACCAGCTGCCAAGCCTGCCATCGGTGGCGGTCTGGCGTGCGGGAGGTCGGACCATCCTTGCACGCCTTTTTTCCATAATCTCCACTCACTTCCATAATTACTTTGAAGGTTTTCAAAGGGCGCTAGATGCCGTAGCAAAAAGGATCCTCCATGGGCTGGAGCGGTCTACCTGCAGTGCCCTTCACCACAGGCAGCTGTTGCCCACAAAGCCCTGGGCAAAATGGGCACACCAGGGCCCAAGCCAGACACGCTGTTGTGGTTTTGCCAGGACCCAACAAAGCTTGGACAGCTCTCTTCGGGTGGAGAATCTGGGGTGAGCCTCCTGCGGCTGGCCAGCTTTGGCTGATCCCCCAGAGCTGAGCAGGGGCAGGCCTGGCTGGGACTTGGATGGGAGACCACTAGGAAGTCCTAGGGCTGCGGGCGAGGCTGGGAAGTTAAAAAAACACCCCGCGGGAATCACAACCGTAAGCGGCACGGCGTGCCCGGGAGGTCAGGGGTCTCCGTTGACCAGAAGGAGGCGCCGCCTGATCCTTTCCACAGCGAGCATCAATAGCCTGATCTGTAAACCCAGCCTGGGGGGCCTCGGCATTCAGGGCGTTCTCCTTCTGGGGGTGGGGGGGCAGGCGCTTGGGGTCGAGGCAAGAGTTTCCCTAAGCCGGCTCTTCTCGTTCTGCTCTTTCTGGTAGGTTGGGCTGACTTCATGATTGCCCAGAGAAAGAGGGGAGGCTGCAATCTGTTGCATTGCATTGTATTGCTTCATTTTATTTTATTTTATTTTATTTTATTTTATCTTATCTTATCTTATCTTATCTTATTTTTTCTTATTTCTTTTATTTTTACTTTATTTTAGCTTTGGTTTACTACGCTTTAGAGGCAGCCCAACTCCACCAGATTCTGGGAGGCTTGCAAGTGTAAAACCAAGAGAGACTGTTAAACGAACGAACACCATAGAGATCCCAAAAGACACAACAAACCCTAATAAATTAAAAGGCCTCCAAGGGCTTGACCCCCAAGGCTAGGGAGAACAGCCAGGCTTCCAGCCCCTTTCTAAGCCTGTTTTGAAGAAAAGCAGCCGATGCTTCTGGCCGAGCGCTTGCAGGACCCACACTTCTCCAGCCGTGCCTTTCTAGACTTATTGGACTGCAGCATCCATCCTTCCCAGCCAGCATGGGCTGGCTGGCTGGGAAATGTAGTTTGGCACCTCTGGAGGGGGTAAGAGCTCTGCATCCAACTTCTTTGCCCCCGGTCAGCCGGCAGACGGACAAGCCCGAGGCCGGGTTGCTTTGGCAGGGCACACTTAAAGGTTGGCACCCCCCAAATCGGAGGCTGCCCCCCCAACTGAAACTGGCTGGGCAGGAAACTTTGTTGGGGCAGCGAGATTTGCACGGCAGGCAGGGGGCTGCTGGCATCAGCGAAGAGCATCCGGGAGAAGCATCCCGTTTTCCCCCCTTCTGTCCTTCTCCGGGCTGGAAAGGTCCCGGTGAGACAAACAGGGGCTGGGCGGCCAAACACCCCCCAGGAAGCCCACCTGGCCGTGGGGCAGGGCGCCTGCAAGCGCAGCTTAACCCTGGCCGGGCCCGGGGAGACCCAGGAGCTCAGCTTGGGAACGGAGGCCCAGCTGGCCCCTCCTGCCGGCATCCAGGATTTCCGAAACGGCTTTTCCCAGCTTGACTTGGGGGCCAACGGTGGGGCTGCTTCCTTTAGGGAGGGGCTCTGCTGGCAGTGATGGCTAAGGGGGAGACCTCCTTGGGAACTGGGAATTCCTGTGGAGGAAGACGATGCCAAGGCTTCGAACCCAACCCAGGGGAAAAGGCACTCTGTAGATGCTCAGATGCTCCCAGGCTGGCTCCCATCTTCATGCCCACCAGGGCATAAAGACATATCCAACCACTTTCTGCAGTGTTGGGGGGGGGGGGTCAATCTTACTTCTCCTAAGGCTGCCCCCCTCCCAAGCAACTCAAACAGGCCCACTCCTCTGACGATCTTTTCTATTTCTTTCCCACTTTCTATAACCCAAAAGGTGCTTTGTAACACCAAAACTGTCTCCCCCACCCCAAATGGAGGAGGGAGGGAGGGAGGGGGGAACAGGAATAGACTCGAGAAGCATCTGAGCATTTTTCACAAAGGGGGGAGGATTTAAAGGTTTTCTTTAAGGGGAGAATTCAACCCCAAGAGACCACCAAGGGAAGCGGCTAGAGGGGGCCCTTCTCTGTTGTGGGCAGGTAGTCCTCGACTTACGACCATTCATTTAGCAACTGTTCTAAGTTATGACGGCACAGGTTGTAACCGCTGGAACTCATTCCTGGCTCATGAGTCACCCTTGCAGAAACAAGAAAGCTTCAGAGGAGCTAAAGATGGTGGATGGACAAGGCTTTG